GCCGGAGCGGCCGCCCCCCCCTCCCCCCCGGAGCGGAGGCAGAGTTTTCCTCCCAGATGGTTTGGTTCAGGCTGCAGGGGAGGTGATCGCTGGAAAGGTTTTAATTTCACCTCCGTTTGGGCCACAAAACAACATTTGTCAAAGTGTTTCATTCGATTTCACCCTGGACTGTCCTCACCACTGCCTGACACGAGTTTACAAACACACACACACACACAGGCTGGTTGCCCATGCCCACACAGGCCCTGAACTGCCCCCGTGTTTATGCTGAAATGGCAAAAAAATCATGAACCAGATGTAAGATTTTTTTTTTCTTCATTCATGGTTTGGCCATTACATTCAGACATTTCATTCCTGAACTTGACAATTGGACTGAAAATGAAAACATGGAGGTGAGGCTCTGTAACGGCATGGGGCTGCATTTTGGCCAATGGAACCATAAATAAATTAAAAAAAAAAAAAGAAAAAAAAAAAAAAAAAAAACAGATTCACCGTAGTGTCATGTGGGTTCATCTTCTATCACAACACTAATCTAAACCAGTGTTTCCCAAAGACTGGGTCACGACCCTCAGGTGGGTCACAATTTTTTTTTTTTGGGTCGTCTCTCGTCCTGTTCCCGAGGAGTTTACGAATAATGTCTCTTGACTTCGTGTCCCCAGAAAAAAAGTTTGGGAAACTCTGGTCTAAACTGTATCTACAGCAGAGGCTCGTCTTGTTTCCAGACCGCGGCCTTAACAGACCTGCGAACCTCAACTTGAGCCTCGTGTTGCCTTTAAAAAACAACAACAAAAAGAATAACGTCGAACACAGAGGCGTGAACTGCAGGATTTCCAGACTGAAAATCTTTGTGACTACCATCAGACTCGTCAACGGTTGACAGGTGTTAAATCATGGACGAGCTCAGAGACACGTCACGTCCTTCACCGTTGACTCTCAGTCTGTACATGTTACATTTGCACACTCCTCTGCTGAATATCTCCGACAGTATCTTCATTTTTATTTGCGAGTTATAGTGCCGCACTCTTTTTATTACACTTGTA